ATAGCATTAAAATTTGTTGTATTTCCTGCAATGGAAAAGAATCTTGATAAAATAATAATGAATGAAGAAATAAAAATAATTAAATTATTTCATTTAATTTCACTATAAATATTAATAAACTATAATAAACTATTGAATAAATTTATAAAAACATAATAATTTACTTCCTTTTATTATAAAAATATCTGATTGAGAAAGATTCAGATATTGTCTTGTTATTTTCATAAAAATAAAAATACTTATTACAATTTCCTTTTCATTGAGATAAATAAAAAGTTTGATATACATAACATCTTTTAATGAGTTAAAACCATAAATTCAACTAACCAAAAAGCATTATAACTGTGTAAAAGAACTTAAAATTTGTACTGAAAAATGGATTATGCAAGAATCAAGTACTTGTCAAGTGTCTATAGTTCCAAGTTGTCTTACATTTAATAGAAAAAGTTCCAAAGAACAAAATCTATCTCAAAGTACAGATTGTCCAGTTCATGAAATATTAGAAGAAGAGGTAGTTTTTACAAACGAAGCACTAGAAAGTTATCAAATAGTAATTAATGGATTTGCTAAAATTAACAATTACTGGATATCATGTTCTGAAACTAGTTTTATTCTTCTTGCAAGAGGAATTCATAAAGTTACATTTTATGCTATGATAAGAAATTCTAGTGGAGAAATTAAGTCAGAAATCCCTATTCATGTTTTTGGAACAAACAAAGGTTCAACTAATTATAAACGATTTTGGATTCAACAAATTAGTGTCGTTCTTCTACCACAACTTAGTCAGTATCTTTCATTTGATGAATGTAAATTGTCTGATAGAATTTATACTGGTGAATATAATGCTATTTTTAAAGGGACTTATCGGTCTTTAGATGTTGCTATTAGTAAAGTAAAATCAAGGAATGAACGTATTGAAACATTACAAAAAATGAAAGAAGAAAAAGAAAGGAATCACGAAAAATTGAGTGATATCAATCAATCTGAACTTAATCAATTCTTAAAAGAAAAAGAAGAAGGTATTCCTGAAGATTTTTCTCGTTCTCCCTTTGTTCTTGAAATTAGAGAAATTGCTAAAATTCAACGAAACCTTATTTCTCCTTATATCCTTACATTTGTTGGTTTAACTGAATTTCCTTATGCTGCTATTACCGAACTTGCACCTTATGGAGATGCAGAATCATTCTATGAAAAACATCAATTAACACAAACATTAAAATTTAAAATATTTGAAGATATTGCCAATGGTGTTGCCGCATGTCATAGATTTGATATTATGCATCTTGATTTAAAACCATCAAATATATTTATTTTCTCATTAAATCCATTAGATTCTGTTGTAGCTAAATTAGCGGATTTTGGTGCTGCTAAGAGAATTAATTTTGATAATGTTCCTTCAAATGTTAACTTTACATCAACAAAACTTTATACTGCACCAGAGATGTTAAAATTTATTACAGCTAAAACATATAAAGGTAAGAAACGTATAGAATTTTTAAAAAGTTTTAATCTAGAAGATTTAACTCCTTATACATATATAGAAGCAGACTTAAAAAAAGAATTTGGAAATAATGCAAGTCAAGTTAAAGCAGAAAGAGATAGAAATTATGAATTTAAATTATATCAATTATTACATGTTGGATTAACTGTTGATATCTTTTGTTATTCACTTACTATTTTTGAAATATTTATTGAACGTTCATTAATTTATACAGAAGAAGTATCTAAAGCAAGTGGATTAACTGGTATGGATAAATTCCAAAAAATACTTACTGCCGATCTTAAAACTTCTAAAAATCCAACAACCACTCAGAAATTACTTAGTCTTAGAGGTTTTCCATTAACTCTTACTAAATTAAAAGCTCCAAAATGGTTTAGAGATATCCTTGATAAAACATGGGCAATAGACCCAACACAAAGAATTTCTATGACAGAAGTAGCAAGACGATTTCATAAATATATTAGTTTATATTTAAACCAATTTAAAACAAGAAATGATGAAACTTTATCGGTATTAAAAGAAATGAGAAGTAAAGAAATAGAATATTTTGACACTATAGAAGAAATTAAATTATCAACTTCTAATGTCTCTTTAGAAGAAAGAAAAAAAAATATTGACTCAAAATATTTTACAGAAATAAAAAAATTAAAAAGTAAATTAATTGAGATAAATGACAATCATAATCAAATAAAACAATCTTCATCTAGTGATGAAATGATAAATCCTGAAGGACTTATTGATATTACATCAGAATATAGTGATTACACTGAAATGATCACTCATAATAATTTAGTTGGTCATGCAAAAATTTACGGATTATCAAAAACAAGAACACCTGAAGAAATATATCAGTACAAAAGAAATAATTTTAGAATTAGATATGACTACGAAATCTCTTGGGGGTCTCAACCTGATCAAATCCTTGAACTTAAAGAAAAAGATAAATATGGTAAATTTGTTGAAGAATTTAAAAAAGAAGATTCTCTTAAAAAAGAAAAATTAAATACTCAAATAGACTCTTACTTTGACCAAAATGTATCATCAAATAGTTACACTCTTAATGACTCTATTGGTTACTCTAAAAAGCAAGTTTTATCAACATTCATTTTAGATGAAGATGGTGAACCTATCTTCCACTTATCTAATGATGAACATCCAAAACAATACTCCAATGAAATTACTAAAAAAGTTGTTAAGAAAACAACCTCAATTAATGATAAAGAAAATAGTACAACAACGAAAAAAACAAATAAAAAGAAAGTTGTTAAGAAAACAACTTGTTTTGATGAAGACGAAATAGGTTTAGATGAAACACAAAAAATTATAGATTTAAACAAAGACAAAAAAGAACCAACAAAACCACAAACTACAAAAACATGTAAAAAAAAGGTAATCAAAAAAACAATCTGTTTGGATGATGAAGAGACAGATAACTTAAACGAAGAAAAACAAGATGAACATATTAAACAAACTAAAAAGAAAATCATTAAAAAAACAATTAACTTTAATGATGAAGAAAATGTTATAACAGAAAATACGAAAACACAAAATTTAACTAAAAAAACAAAAAAGAAAATTATTAAAAAAACTATTTCATTAGATGAATAATTCATAGTATTTAATAATTGAATTTATTGTCAAAAATAAGAAACAAAAGAAATGTTTGTTGTAATTAAATTTAATTCTAAAATAATCTATTAAGATCAGCAAAAGTCAAAGAAAAAAAACTAAAAAAAGATGAACTAAAAAATAATAAAATGAAAGCGGTATTATTTATTCTTATTATTTATTGTGTTATTGCTGAGACTATAACATTTAATAAATATAATAAAAGTACAACTGATAAACATTGTTCAAAAGAATTATTAATTTCAAGTACATCAATTAATATTGGAAAATGCTATACATTTTCTAAAGTTTTTGGAGTAGAAAATATATTAGAAATATATCCATATTTCATTGTTAATGAAATTAAAAATACAAACAATGAAGTTACAGGATATTGTATTAAATATTCTGTTAGTAGTGAATGTGCTATTGAATCAGAAGAAAATCAAATTGGTTTAGTTAATGAATGTCATAATTATCAATCAATAAATGATTATGATTATGATTATGAAATAAAGTCAGGAAGTGTTGATGATGAAACAAATACTTCAGTTCCACTTTATATTTTAATGGTCCTTTCTTTTATGGTTTTAATTTAAGAGAACTTAATTAATTAACTTGTTCACAAAACACAATCATTTATTTTTAATTGCAACATCCTCTTTTTTGTTTCACATCTGGAAGATACATTAAATCAATAGAACTACTTGCATCTTCATTTCCTTCTGCTTCTAACACATTACCAAATTGTGCAATTATTAATTTGGCAATATTTTCCATCGTTTCTTCAACATGAAATCCTGTTTTTGCTGATACTAAAAGCATCCCTTTAAATCCATTTGAATTAGCAATTTCTTTAAGTTTAGCTGCTGCTGCATCTTTTTCTTCATCAGTTTTAAGTAAATCTGCTTTATTTCCAATTAATAAAACAGGTATTTTTTCATTATTAAATAATACTCTATCATCAATATTAGCTTTCCATTTCTTTACTCCTTCAATTGATGTATTATTTGTTACATCACACATTACTAATC